TGCTTCCTTATAGCACTAAATATTGTATGCAAAGCAATATAAGGAAGAGTGATTTGGTTTAATAAAGAATATTGTTTGGGTTATTTCCATCCAACTGAATATTAATATAATGATTGTATTATGACTGTGTTTTAGAAACAGTATTTTATACATTATCTATAATTGGGTATCCATGTGGAACTACACTCAAATACACTCTTTTGAAAGTGTAATCTTTTTTAATTAGAAATGATGATCCCTAAAAGTTCTCTAAAAGCTATGAAAGTATTGATGAACCAATTAAATTCGGTCAGTTGATCTAACAGCAATTTGAACGGTTAAAATTTAGATGAATAAAGGTAAACTGAAGTTAAAATATATTCTGCAAGTTTTGTTTTTTAAAACTCTATTATGACAAATAGATTAAATCTTGTATTTAAAAAGTTTAACCCATAATTAATACTAGCATCAATTTTATGTTGAGGGGCTGACGATAAAACAGTTTTGAGTATTGACAAATAATCACCATTACAGATTTTTAATAGAATTTATTGGTTTTATAGGTCTACATACAATTGTAGGATTACGAGTGTCAAGGTTGGAACTTGAAGCCTGTCTTACACCTAATAATTTAATCAATTAATTGCAACTTTTGAGAAATCTGAAGGATTGTCAACAAATCATAAATTTGAACAACAAAAACTTTGCACAGTTCTGGCTCTTTTGGTCAACATCCGCGCTAGTAGATGATACTTGCTCTATAAAAAATTATATACGGACTTATAAAAGTAATGAACATTGTCAAAGACCTCTGATAAGAAATACCGATGAGTATTATCAGCAAAATAAGTTTAATTAATTTAACATAATTTAATATAATTAGCGCAATTAATTACTTTTTAAAACTTTTTTGATAAAATATTTTATTTTTATTAACATCTATTACACAAGCCAGTGTCTTGTTAAGTAACTTATACATTTGAAGAATGTTTAAGGATCTACATATTTATCAAATAAATATTTAATAAGAGCTTGTTGAATCATACGGGAATGCCGATAATTGAGGTTTATTAAATCAATATCTGTTTTATGGTGGATACAATCCATTGAGTATAGAATTAGTTTTGTGTACATGAAGGAGTCTATTCAGATATTCAAGTTTCCTTTCTGTAGAGATTTTGGCATCCGCAACAGTGAAGTATAAAAAAGGTTCTGGTATGACTTATTGCTTTGAAGGCCCCAAAAGTATTGGGAGAATTTTCTCTCAATTGGAGAAAATGCAACCCGCTGATTAGTGATTGAGATGGTAGTGAAAAATGTTAGATACCATATCAGATAGATTAAAATAAATAATAATTTTGTTAATTTAATTAAGAAAATTAATTCAATTAATTAAAATAATATGAAAAATAAAATTTTTGTTGTTGTAGTTCACTACTGTTCGAAAAAACCTCTTTATAATAATTTTGTTGTTAAAATGTAATTTAAAAAAAAATAAATTCACGAAAAAAATTTAAGATATAGAAAAATTTGATAAAAAATGTGAAATGCGAGAGTGTGAGACTTTAATCCATGATTGCTATATCTTCGGAATAAATAATTTCTGAAGTATTTGGAGTCTTCAGTAACTTTTGGTAAAAGTCGAAGTCAATTAATTTAGCATTTACGAATCTAAATTTGTCCAAGCTAAAGCGGAAAGAGATGGTGAAAGGGAACGTTTGGGGATATTGAAAGAATGTGTATGATTGGGGTTACAGAAACCAATATGAAGCGAAAATAGAAAAACCTAATTTTGGATCATATCAGTAATAATGACGCTAATGGGATTAAAATTAAAGAAGCAGGTTCTGTACCTGGGTGGTAAGCTATCAGGCAAGAAAAGGTAGATGCTTCAGTTCTTTTTAACTTAACGTGAGTGAATTGAAAAAGTGTTAATAGTTAAGTTTATATTATTGAATAATAAAGTCGGAAAGGTCCACATATTCAAATCCACATGCGAAATTTTTGCCAAGAAAATTTATTGTAGTAATAAGAATCATTTTTAAATTGTTTATAAAATAAGTAAAATTCTTAATAATCATAAATAATATGCTTTGTAATAGCATTTTTTGCTACATTAAATATATTTAAGCAGGTTTAAGGGTATGTTGAAAGTGGGTCTTGCCTTCTTCAGAACCATTTTAATATAATACATATGAAATAGGTAAAACTTGTGCTCCAAAAAATCAATATAAAGATATTATTAATGAGTATGTTTGTGGAAAGATAGTAGCTGAATGCTTATATATTGAATAAGAGATTGTGCCTTAGTGCTATGCGTTTACTATCTGAATGGGTGCCATGCTTATGCATGTCTATTTTGAATCACAGGTCTCTTGAAAACTGTTTAAAGAATTTTCCAATAAACTGTCGATCATTAACTTATAAAGAAAAATCAAGAATTTTTAGATTAAGGTAATAGAATATTAACTACATAGTAAAAATATATGACATTTTTTTTATTGTTGATTATAAGGGTATTTAAATATGAGCTTTATGTCTTGAACTTTTCCCTAAGTGAATTGGGTGTCATGAGATATACCTATTCCATTTTATACCGTGTTTTTGAAACCATATATTGCCAAGACGAAATTATTTTATTTAACTCAGAAAGAAATATTAATCATATGTTGGTAGTTAAAGTTGAAGTGCCTCATTCTTTTTTTTAATCGTACGGTTGAAATTGGATGACTTTGAGATTATCTATGTTCATCGCCAGTATTAGTTTGAGAAATATTTAACCGAATCAGGAAAGAAAAGTCTACTTTTGACTGATAATATTACAGCATTTCTTGTTTGAGAATGTTATATTTCAATATAGTTTTATACTATGGTACAATTTGGTATAATAAAAAACAACTATCTCATCATCGTTTCAGAACTCCCAGATAATATTCTATGTTAAATCTATGAATTTGTGCTGAATTCTCTAGGAACAATTCGTTTTCAATCATTGGATCGTTTTTGCTTTTCGTAGTGGTTTATTTTCTCTGCTTTGGGTTCTTTAGTACAGAATGTTTTTCTTAGTTTCTGAAAGCAGTATTCGGAATGTACTTTATTTTGATTGTGCTATTTTATAGCACTATGTTGGTCATGTGTTATGCCGTGCGAACTATTGATATTTTAATTCCCATTAAATTGTATATAAAGACAATAGACTATTAAATAGTCTGATTGATTTAATGTGAAATATTATCTTAGACATTTAATACAGCTGAATATAATTTCAAGATTATATTATATCCGGCTATATTGATTGGTTGAATGCTTTTTATATATATAATTATTGAGTATCCTACCTGCAATTTGTTCAAAATTAAAATAATTTCTAATTAGTAAGGATATGTAAGGCGTATCGTACTGTCATGTTTGATTTCTACAGAATATTTCGTTAATCCGAAATACTTTAAGGTCTTGGCACAACTTATTTTTTTCCATTGATAGATGTCAGTATTTATTATCAAACTAATAATATGTACTAATATGTGCAAATTAATTCATTCGTGTCCGGTTATATTTATATATATCTGTCTGGTTTATATCTGTCTGGTTTATATCTGTCGATTGTCTTTTACTTAAACTGAGTTAATCAATTGAAACACTCTTAAAAGTTATAGTTGCGTAAACAGCTCATCCTTGTTGTTGGATGGTATTAAACGGATTTGTTAGATATATTAGCCAAATGTGTGTGTGTTTTAACAGATTTCTGATCTATAACATATTTTGTGGCTATTTCTAGTTAGCTTTGGAAACAGAATTACAGCTGCCTTTTTCCATTTTGTGGATAAAGTGATGAGCTCCAGTAAGGTGTTAACAACGTTTCTGTGTAGTGTCACATTGTAATGTTTTAAATGCAATGGTTTCAAATAACCATTCAGGTCCGAAACTAGAATTCATTTTTTTATTGCCTTCCAGATTTGTAGGTCAGATATTAGAGTTTTAAAACGGAAACAATCGTTTCCATCAAGTTTCTCTTGACTTAGTATCAATTTCCAGGGCATTGGGAAAAGCCTTAGTCTTACAGTGTATTAACTTATTTCGTAGTTGAATAAATTATCATCAGCATTATATATAGTAGGTGTAGTAAAGAAAATCCATTATTTTTATATGAAATTGAGGGCTTATTTACCATAGTTAGAATGATCACACTTAAGTCAATTTTGCATCGTCGTGTTCGATAATTTGTTGTGATTTTGATGATAACTTTATTATGCTTCTCTCGTAGATGTCATCATCCCTATTGGCAAAAATTAGGTGCCAGGTCTGGACTATAAGATAGATGCATAAGAAATTCCCATCTAAATTCCTGCAGCTTTTAGCCAGCCATTATCGATGTGTTTGGTCTTACGTTATGCTGATGGAACACAATTCCTCTCCTATTGCCCAAGGCTGGCAGTTTCTGGGCAATTGTCTTTCTCAGACGGTCTAATTGGTCACAGTATAGTTTTGCGGTTGGGAAACAGTTCGTACAAGATAACTCGCTGTCAATCCCACCAATCACACAGTAAAACCTTCCTGGAGGTCAATCTTGGGTTAGCCACCTTTTGGTTCACCATTTGGCGATTCGACCACGACCGATAATGGGAATTGTCGTTGTTGTAGCAATTCACCTTTCATCACCAGTCACAAACCGCTTTAGAAGTAAATCGATTTTGTTGCTATTCAACAGCGATTCGCAGATGCAAATTCAGTTCATGAAGCTAACTTAAGTGACACACACACATGAAGCTTCTTTTCGTGAGCAGCCTTATTGATTTTTGTGCAATCCCTAACTCTTGGGCAATCGGAACAGTGATTAAATAATGGTCGGACTCAACAGTTTTCATAATTTTATTGACAAAAAATTAATTTTTCAATTAAATTTTATTTATTCAATAACTCATTTTTTAAGTAGTCTTATATGTCATTAAAAAAATGTCAATTTTAAAATTGAATTCTATATTTTATCAAAAATTTGTCAAAATAAAATTTATCAAATTTTTTAGTAAAAAAAAGTTTTGAACTCCTGGCTGCAAAATTTTAAATTAAAATGAGGTGCCTTGGAACTAGCATGCAACAATAACTTCAGAATACTCTGGTATACAATAGACGCATATTCGAAGGAGCTAAAATTCATGTTTTCAGAATATCAGGACTAATTGCAGAGGTATGTGCTCAGAAATTATAATTTAGTGCAGATAAATTGAAGTTATTTCTATTGCCACTAAGTCCCACAATATAACAGCTGAGACATTTGTACCGATTAATACGACCATTGAGTTCCGGCTCCATCCGGTCGTTATAAACGATACTCGTTACATGTAGTGATATAAATTAAAAGAAATAAAATTATAGTACTGTTTATCGAAGTATGTACATTTTGTGTCATTTGTATTAATACATGAATATATTATAGTTCAGTTATTTAGAAGAGTATATCTGTAGTCATATTTTACATATTCTTCTTTGCATATTGTTTCCCTAAAGGCAGAAATAATCTGTTATTCTTGTTATGTGGTCGCACCTTGCGTTTTTTTACTCTTCGCCAAAAAGGATTTTTTCTAAGAAACAATTTTTCTAAATATATTCCAAAGAGATGAATGATAAAAAAAAATTTTTTTTGGTTATTATAACCACTAGCCAGAACCAAAATTTGCTTAAAATACAATTGGAATAACCAATAAGTCGTTATGTCGGTGTCGCTATAAAGGATTGCAATTTTTATGTCGAGATATAGCAAACTAAATTCGACTGTAAGAAACTGATTGATTTTTATATCAGGTATATAAATGGGTTTGTTATATAATTGGTACTTCGGAAAAGGTATCTAAAACGTAAAGACACTTTTCGCAAATATCATATGGTCCGAACAACAACAACAGCACATGGCATCTGCTCGTATGACATCCTTGTGCACGACACTTGGTCGTCATAGCTCACGAATTGTTTCAGGAGGTAGTTCCGAACGCTCCGGAACTCTAGGTGATGTTAACTTATATACATATTTTTTTTTTATCAACAGTAATGATAAATGGATGCGAAAATGTATTATTGTGAAATCGATAAACATTGAACAAATTCTTTGTTTTTGCTATCATTAATATTTAATTAACTTCTTAAACGTTTTTTTTATATTTGAAATATTATATATAAAATATTTACTTTTAATATTATATACCATTTTAACATTATATAAATATGTAACTTGTATAAATATCTGAGAGTATGTAGTATAAGAGTGTATGTATCTAAGAGTTAGAGTAAGTATATATAGTATAAGAGTATATATATCTAAGAGGTAGAATAAGTAAATATAATAATATATTTATAAGTATATATTACAATATATTTAAGAGAATATATACTCTTAAACATAAGTGTAAGTTCACAGTATAAATTACACATGTAATCAGAGTAAGTTAGATCACATAGATTCATAAGTTGTTAAACTTTGCGGATATTATTAAAGTCAGCCTATATTACAAACCATATTATAATTAGTATTATTATAACCATGTGTATTATAACCATATATTATACTTCTGGATATTATTAAAGTCAATCTGTATTACAAACCATAATGTTACAGATCAATTCGGGAATATGTTATACATATTACACACTAATATATTATTATAAAGACTCATTTCAGGTGTTAGCAAATTTTTTAACTTTAAAGAGTTATTCTATAGACAGATTTTTGTTTTTTTTTTGGAAAGATATATTTATTCTCCACTTGCATTATAATTGCGGTACCTGTTTGGTGTATTTTTGTGGGTTTTCTTTTATATGGAACAATAATTAAACCAAATAAATAATATACAAATATAATACATAACATATTACACATCGAACACATAACTATATAATTATACATTGTATATTTGTTATATATTTATAGAAAATGCAGTTGGAAAGCTTCCAAAAACTTGCTTTCAGTTCACATTTCTCATAATTTAAGCGAGAGGTTACTTTACACACAGCCACTTTTATTAACGAATACAAACATTTGGCTAATTTTTTTATTCGGGTTGCTGCGAAGTGAGCTAAACATTATATGACCTACAATTACTGGAGCTACTCGATTTTGGTAAAGTTGACTTACACTAATTCCGTATCCACTTGTAGTTCAGTGTTTTATGGTAACTTATTTTATTTTGTATACATATGGCTTATAACTGAAGCTTACTGTTAAGTGAGCTGAAAAATGGAATGTCCATATGTTCAAGTCTACCTCGATAGTAGCAATACAGATATTCTGGTGTCTCTTCTTTAAAAGTTAAGGGTTAAGATCTGCTCAGTTTTGGTAAAGAAAGGACTGGCTAGTTTCATGTAATTTCATAGTTTGTTATTTTATTTAAATTGACGCTATTTTGCATACGCCTGCCTTGTACCTCTATAAGGTTAGAAGATATATTATTAGATTATTGTTTCAAAATAATAAAATTGAGTAAAAGAAGTTAGCCATATCCTCTTTGATTTAAATGCTGAAGTAAGATTCGTCCAATTTTTGTTTGGCTACCGCAAACGGTGATCACTTGTCAGTATCCGTCAGAGACTGACAGTAATGTGAGTAGAATCTAGCTCATTATCTTAGTATTGTATTTTGAGGTCTAGTTGTCTAAATTTTGTGTTTACTTTAAATATAAGTTTTGATGACGTCAGAAGTTCAGTATTTCAAATATGTTAGCTATAGTGCTGTATTGGCAATATATATCATGAATTTTTTTTGATATTTTTCTTTTGATATTTTTTTTATATTTTTTGGATATTTTTTTTTTTGAACTCATGTAATTTCTTACACTTTTGACCTGAATTATTTGAAATTCACATTTTATAAACGCATTACGACCGCACACTATGCCACATCCTGCCGCACCCAGCATTCACAGCGTCAACAACGAGTGAATATTATTTATTCGCCGCACTTCAGTGTGGAAATCTATTTGTGCCACACCACAAATCCCGGCTTAATGCACAAAACTAGCTTAAAAGCGTCAGAAAAAAAATTTTCAAGATTTTTTTTTATCTATGCTGTGCCAAATAAATTCTCCCAAAAAACAAAAATAAATTGAACTCTAACAGCAACAACAACTACAAGTATACACGAATAAACAACAACAACAACAACAACAACTACAATGCATAACAGTCAACTTCAAATCGCAATTCACATTAAAATCTAACGTTTTTTTTGTGTTGGTCATGCTTACTCCACACAGTACTCGTTGTTTGTTGTTGTTCCACCATTTCACTGTGAAAATAAAATACGCCAACGCCTTCGGCAGCAGCGAAACTAGCGTCAATAGCAGCAATGGCAGCAATAATGCAAAGCCAACGCCATTTACGTACGAAAAAGGCTTTTACTTGTAAATGTGTTCGTTCTTGATTGTTTGTTTGTTGATTTGTTTCTGTGTTTGTTTGTGCATTTGTTTGATAAGCAAGTTTGAATGTGTGCGCACATAGATCGGTGTGTGCGAATTGGTGGTAATATATGTGTTGGTATGGTATTGAATTTCTTTTATCCGTATCTGTGTGAATTTATGATTTCCCCATTTCCGTTTTTGTGCCACAATTCTTATTTACACACAAAGAATATTGAAAAAAACAAAAACAAAAAAACAAAAAAACAAAAAAAAAGAAACCAACAAAAACCAAAGAAGTAAAAATGCAAAAAGCACAAAACAAAAAAAAAGTTGGAAGATTTTAGCTGAAGCATAAGAGTTACGCTAGTGTGGCTCCGTTTGTGTGAGGTTGTTGGTCCTTTTGCTTTCAGTTAGGGGGATTACGTGTAGCTTGCACGCCCATGAAGAGTCAATTCCTGCTAGACTCTTTGGTGCATTCAGTGCGTTTTATGGCCATGCAATTGCCCCGCACTGCCCTGCCTGACTATTTGCCTGCTTGTTTGGATATATTTTGACAGTCAAGAGATAAATTGTTAAATACGCTCAGTGGATTCACCGTAGTCACCGTAGTCGTCGTAGTCGCCGTAGTCGCTGGACCCACATTTGTTTGTATGAATGTATGAATGTGCATAAATTCATGGGTCTGTTGTGTTTTATGCAATTGACAGAAACTTCAAAACTGTTTTTTACAGCATTTTTTTCGTTGAGTTTTTGTGACGCTCCTCTTTTTTGTGATAATATTTTAAAAGTCGAAAATAAATTGACCATTTTCAGTGTTTGGGCTGCATATCAATATTATTTGACTTACTAGTACCACATAAACGTTTATCAATAAGCAGTATTTTGTGCAGCTATGCAAGTTCCAAGTCAGACTTTCTTTGAAATAAAGGAAAATGAATCACAATCAATAGAAATGTTGACTTTTCAAACACAAACGAAGAATAAATTATCAAGCTGTTTTTTAACAGTTTGACGATTTATTTCATACATTATCGTTGAACTGATTGCCGGATTTAAAGCAACTATAGAAGGCTAAACTGACTATTTCATGGAGCGGACAACAATCGACACCGAACTTTTGTTTGTTAAAGATGGGACATCCAGTCATCCCATCTTCATGTTATTTCAAATGATGATCCAAAAAAAGTTCAGTATTGATAAAAGTTGCAAAGAAAAACAAAAACAATTTTTAGGAGAGTTTTTACTGTAATCTACTTACATAATTGCAGATTATATTGATTTCGTGAACCAAACCTAAAAAACATTCTTCTCTAAAAATTCTTCTTTAAAGAAATTCCACTGTAGAGTACGAAAAAAAAAGATGACTTGATTCGTATTGGAGCTTTCGTAGATATATTCCCAGGAGTACGAGTTTATGTTCCCCCGGTGATCGTTAAAAAAAGTATTTACCTCTACTTTTTTCAGCTAACGAATAATAAATGGTAGAGACTTAGGTCATGTGTATGATATTAAATAACAATTTTTTTAAGTCTTAAATACTTTAGATGATATATCTGCATGGGCTTGATTCATACCATTTCGTGGTATTTATACGAATAAATGAAAAGTGTGCTACGTTGTATTCCTTTCGTGAATACAATTATTGCAGCAATAGATTTCTTTGACAGTTTTTAAGTGTTATTATGTACCTTTGAAACTAATTCTTTTAGACAGCGTTTCATAAAATCTATGTTAGTTAGGGCTTTATTGTAAAAATATTGAGGCAGTCTACGTTTGACATTCCTCATCAAGGTCAACGACAAATTTCATGACGTTTAATAGACTGAAGTGAAAAAACTATATTTTAGGTAAAACCGCGAAAGGTTGTAATCAATAGATTGAATACTTTTTGAGCTTAATATAACTTAACTCGTCTATTTACGAAAATATTTATTTTATTAAAAATTAATTAATTTCACAAAACAACAAAAGTTAAATCATTTTTTCTCTTCTTTTGATAATTGATTTTCCAAAGGCTTTAGCCTTACTCGGTTCATTTAAGTGCAAAATTTACTATCCGTTTTCCTTCTAGACATGTGGACGTTTGACTTATCTTAATAATTTAATAAATATTTTTTCGTAAAACATCGAACCCTAAATTCTCTTCCCTTCCACTTAAAAAGACAGTTTCTTCTCTGAACTTACAGAGAAAAAACAGTTTAAAAAATATTTATAAAATTTTCCTCATTCATAGGAATAAAAAGGAACTTTGTAATCTCTTCAGTATGTTTATCTTAAATCTTGCGTCAATGGGTGCTTAAGTGCAAAATCATATTTTTTTCTAGACATTTCGTTAAAAAATGTTGGAACCTATTTTCTAACTTAGAACCAAAAGTCGAAATTTTCCTAATTGTAGTCATATATCCATGAGCAATTGAAATATTTATTTAATATTGTATATTTTTTTTTTTTACAATATATAAAAGAATCAAGAAAAGGATTTTTTGAATATACAATCGAACCAATACGAACACTATTCGCAATCTTTAACTAATTATTCTATCTCAAAATTGCAATTTTGGGTTAAAATTGTCTCAAAAGGAACTTAACTATCTAAACAAAATCAATTGATATTTAAAACATGTTCAGTGGTTACGGTCAGACTCAAACCGAAGAAGTACAAGAACTGATAGAAATAGTTTCTTCAGTTCAGCGGATTAAAAAACAAGCCGATATCTTAATAAACGAAAGGAATCTATTTGTATATAAATTAAAAGAAATAGAGGACTTTTGCAAAGCCGATCAAACTAATGATCCAAAACTACGTTGTGTTCTTAATATATTGACACATGGCTTTGTTACTGATGTCGAAGATATAGGTAAAGGCAATCATACCACAGAGAACGCAGATGAAATCGTAAGTGATTACAATGAAGAAAGTACCGAAATATAAAAAAAAATTATGGCGATATGGACATGGAAATGATTATATAGAAAATCCATAATAACGATTTAGTTACAGAAACGTTTGCAGTTTCGTTATTCAAATTTTTTTTGCACCGGATTTAAATCTAATCCCAAAAACAATTTTCTGATCCATAAATTAACTCTGGCGTCATCATTGGAAACATGAACTGTGCTTGTTTTTGTAAGTCAATGCTCTTCAGATGTAAATAAGCTTGGTATACAAATAAACACTTAACGATTCCTTAAGATTAAATTTATAGATAATTTTCAACGGTCCGTATTTTTTATATGGAATTAAGTTTACGATACGACTAAAAATTATGAGGAAAATAGCTATTATTCTGAACTGGACTCATTTTCTTAAGAATACTTCTAAAACCTTATTTTGTACTTGTGGTGTACCTGAATTTAAAGCTGAAGTTCAGGGTTACTTTCCAGTGCAATTTAAGAAAGCTTAGTAAGTTAATTTTTCCATATAATTAAATTTAAACTTTTATACTCTATTGTTGTCATTTATTTTCAGATTCCTAAAACGAGGTTAGTTTTTGCAATACTACTTGACCTATTGATGACACTTTGAATGTATTTAAGTTATTCAAATCGTTATTCTTAGCACAAGAAAAATGGAAAACTTTTGCTATATTTTAAATTATGAAATCCCTATTACTGAAAGTGCACCTCATAACTCTGTAATTTTGACTTCTTGGATTCAAAATTTTTAATTATAAATAAATAAGTTAAAAATTTAAATAAAACAGTTTTGGTTAAATTAATTGAACAAGTTGAGTTTAAAAGTAAATATAATAGTAGGTAAGTATGTGATAACTGCATTAATAATCGATATTTAATATGGGCCTTGTATTATATTTATTTATTAAAATTATCTTATAACTAATTGAAGAATTATATATAAAGATTTACAGAAAAGCTTTATTTTATATGTTAATATTATTAATTGATGCAGATTGAGGGTTTTGAGGTTTTTTCAAGTTAGTGCTATTGGTCACTTTTACAATTTATTAGCTGGGGGTTTCTACAGAGTTTCTCCAGAGTTTCTCCAGAGTACTCCTCACAAGCTTCGCTGATTATTCGATGACTGATGTAAGATCTGCATATCGTTTTATACGGCTAGTGGCTGCTCAGAGATTAGATAGTGCTGTGTAGAGCAGCCTGTCAGTTTTCACATATAGCTTCAGGACTCTGTCCCTTACGCAGATGAAGACGATTTACAGCACAGTTATATTCGATCTTCAATATAGGTGTAGACCTAAAAGGAATGAATAAAAATGAAGTCAAAATAAATACTATGACCTTAAAAACTACTTTGTACTGAAACAAATCCTAACTTAATAAACGAATTTGTATCCCTGTAATATCTCACGTTCCTAAGTTTCCAGTTAAAAACGTCGACAAAATCTCTTACTCCAATAATCATACAAGAACTCTTCTGTTTTAGACAATTCTATTTAGTAGCGAATGCCGTAGTGTTCTAGTAATTTATTTGAGTTTTAAAAACTTCTAAGAAAAGTTGTTAACTTCGATTTCGAGTTTTTATAAGGTTGTGAGAACAAAAATTTCACACGAAACTAAACTCGTCTGCAAACAAAAAGTACGATTCTTTAACCATTCAGACTAAGATATAGCTGTTATATAAGCTGTTATATATGGTATATACTGAGATTTTAGAACTTTTGTGAACTTTGTGTAGAGCTCCCAATTTATGCACATGTTTCTCTTAAAAAAAATGTTTAATATATTAAATCAATGTTTAATATATTAAATTAATTATTTATATTTTTATTTTTAATTGTTAAATTTCATTACTATTCTGTTTGTAGAGGCATTATTTGTTGCGTGGTTTATATATTCTTTCTTGTGTGTAGAACCTAAACTAGGAATGTAATACTGAGAAAGTCATGCTGATGGTACTCCACGATTCAATTTTCCTGTAAAAACTTCTCGGAAATAAACCCATAATTTCTTTCAAATTTTTTTAATTAAGTCTAGCATACTTGATAAGGCACCTGATAATCCTTGATTAAGGAAGATTATTTTTATTTAGCAATTATTACTTTGATATTAATAAAGAAATATGTGCTTAAATATGCGTGAAAAAATTCATCCACATTTGAATAACTGTGAATGGAAAGTTAGCAATCAGAACGAACTATGCATGCAAAGTCACACACTCTTGACGTAACAACTTTAAGTATCTATTTTGAAGCTATTAAAATTTCGTCCAACGTGCGCCTTAATCAATGGAAAAGTTTTATCCTAATCGTTCTTAATTATTCAAGCGAAACGTGGCACTTAACTTTTGCGTGAGTTTACAAGTTTTGGGTAGACAGCATCAGCAACAACATAACCAATAATATTGAGACCTGGAAAGATTGCAGGAGAGAACATGTAATGCCAATAAATTCATAATCAAACGTTGAACGCTAATGGCATGTGATAAACGAAGAATAGATAATACTGATGTCTGAGGTTGAAGTTGAAGTTGAGGTTGAGGAGTCTTCCAACACTTCAGCAAGTAAAATGTTACAATTTTCACAGTCTAACTTTTACACTCTCAAAAAATTATTATTTGCAATCCTATAAATGTATGAATAAATCGAAATAATCGAGCATTAAACAGTGTTGGCTTAAGGCAAAGTCAAATGTCTGGGGCAGGAAGTCAATGCGAATCCTGCTCTACTTTGCGCACAATTGAAAGAGGGGCACATTCGGCATTATATAGTCTAACATTACCCGTTACACTGCTAAAAATAGCAATTTTAGTTAACGTATCGTACGAGCTGAGATGGGTGAGGTTCAAACGTATATGTGTATGTTATTGCAGAAGCACCTTTCGAAATGGTAGTATTGCTGCTATGGTTTTGCATCAATGGCATGACATCATAATGCCGCACACGTCAGCACATTCTCCGGAAACGGAAGCAACTACTCAAGTACACCTGTGAATAAGCTTTTGTAACTATAAATTACAACTACTTCAAGTGTGTTGAGCAGTGAACCGATTTCAGAATGTACGCTGCAATGAAACGAAACAAAACTGCAAGGATTAAGCTTAGAAATGAAGGAAGTTAACAACAATAACAACAATAACAACAACAATCGAATTACAACAACACAGACAATAATAATGAAAACCATAATGCCAACAATAACAAAAATGCCCAACAGTTTTGCAAAAGTTTCTTACTCTTACTCTTCACATAAATAAGTTGAGAAACAAAATTAAAAGAAAATGGAAAGATATGGAAATGGAAACCCGTTCGCTGCCAGCGGAAATTGTGAAAAACAATGAGGCTAAAAGGTCACTACAATGAAAGTTGGAAATTAAGTCCAAGTAGCACATATATTTCAGAGGCACTACTCCACGCTTGGCTAGAGCAAAACTTTTTATAAATTAAATGAATGATTTTCTCTCCAGAATGTTCATAGTAACGAAAAAAAAGCAAACATTGCCATAGTGAAATTTAATTAGCATTTCCAGGGAAGATAAAATAAACTTGAATTCAAATTGAATTGATTAAATTAAATTGGAAAAAAATAAATTTTAATTTTTTGCAAAACTTTTAATTACACATTTGAAAGAAAAGTTATAATTTTCATCGCATTTCTCATTTATTTCCAATGAAATAAATTCCATCCCTTCGCTTCACCAAGAGCATCTCATAATTTACATAATTAATTGATCAGTAAATACTTGAAAAAAGGTTCAGGTTGTTTTATATTAGACAAACGTAGTAAGGATTATAGACTATAAAAGAAGAGATTTCAGCATCAAAAAAGTTAAGGATAGTCAGTTCATAATAGCGACCCTATAAATTTACTTAAAACTATTCAACTATAGAACTATTTTCCCTTTCTGACACTAGGAGATGCTCAACGGCTGACATTCTCGCTTTCATTCGGATGACGGAATATCTTCTGTTCGGTTAGAGTCTGCTACAGCACAAAAGATCAACTATGGTCGCATTGCTCCGCTCCGTTAGGAGCTCGTACCCTACCTATTTATTTCTATTGTATTCTATTGACCTATTCTGATGCCGTGTAAAACTCATACATTT